TATATATATACATATATATATACACAAACAGGTTTATTGATGGAGGTCTGTGGGTAACCTCCTTCAGCATGTCAGAAATAGAAATACTAAATCCCTTTGTTCATCTTTAGTACACTAAGTCCAAGCTGAGAATCGTAGGGACCATGGTACTGGCAAATGTGTCCCTGTTGTGAGCAGTAAGAAACAGCAGAAAATTAAGATGCTAAGAAGCCCAATACATTGGATGGCAAGCCCAGAGAATTGTGAATTTGCTCAGAGCCTGCTGTGTCCTCAGAACTGCAGTCTGGTGGTGAGGAGATCTGAAGATGATATCCTTAAAGGCAAGGAAAAATAAGAAAGGAAAAACGAGAAGAAATGTCCGCCTCATTTTTCCCAGAAATGTCATCAGTGAAAAGAAGATTCTGTCTCTGACATGGGACAGGGGGATAGACTACCAATTCTCACAATCCCCTTGAAATCCAAGAGAATCCTGAAAAAATGTCAACTGTATATCATCTGCCACAGTCTGACCATTTGAAATATTTGTTTCTGTTTTTTTGTAACCCTTGAATTGGAAAAACTGACAGACCACTACGGAGATACATTTTAATGCAATTATTTGAACAAGGCATATCACTGTGCATGTTTATAACATTTTATTCTTCCAATGCAGCTTAATTATATCCCTCTAACAACTGTAGTTCTGCAAAATCTTACATAACAAAGACCTTGTTCCTTTCAACAGGGAAAAAAGATTAAAACCACTTGTACCATTTAATGTACAAACTAAAATGTTTAAAACTAGGAGCTTGAAAGATTTCCCCAGATCTTACTATAATTTTTAAATCCAAAGGAAAATCCTTTCACACAACTTGGTTGAACAGATTTCAATTTATTCCACTCAATTTAGCAACATTTGTACTTACTGACTGTTCACTTAGATCCTGAGAGTCTTCCATTGAGGTTATTCACCTTTCTTTTCCTCCACAAGCAGAAAATTATCTTCCTTTCAATTTACAGCTCAGTAGTCTAAATTAAAAGAGAAGATTAAAAAACAACATGTTAGTATATATCCTCACTTCTAAGACAAATCTGCAATAAACAAACACCCTAACTAAGGTTGTAGTTTCACTAAAACCTGAAGCAAAGTTCTCATATAAAGACTGTTTTCATGTAAAGTGCTTCAACACGTTCAGTATTATTTTGGGAACTATCTAAAATATACCAACAGAAACAGGGACTTTTCTTTGGCTCCTTCAAGAGAAAAAATAGCTCCTTCTGGTCAATGTGGAGCCCACAAAACGAACCAATAAAGAAGCTAAAATGTTGAATACAGGCAGCTGTTTAAGTAGTCAACAAATGATAACCCTTGAGAGAACATCTTAGAAAGACAGTTATAGAACAGAACTGCTTAATACACATTTAATGATAACCTCTTAGCCATTAAGTGTCTGGCATAAAAATAGGTTATTATGCAATTATCAGCATGAAGTCCCCTCTCTAAGGTTCATTAAATTCCTTTAGGATTAAATTAAATACACAAAGTGGTTTATAACAAGCGGCTCCCTACAAAGTGCTAAATGGCAGACATTATCCTAATTATCTGCTATGTCTATACCTTCTCTAATAGGGTGAATCATTCTCATGAAATATGGAGATCTTCAATAGGAAAATTCTATTTGCCAGGAGTTCAGCCTCTGAATGATCATGGTAACCGTAACTATAAAGCCACACGGTTATATTACAATCTGCATTCTCAAAAAAGATCCATTCTGGACTTATGCAAATTTGCACAATTTAGAACAAAAAAATGTGACAGGGATATTTCATATATGCAATATCATATTATTAACCAAAGCTCATGTTACATTAAAAAACAAAACAATATGTAAACACATATGTTAAGGAATCCTAACATATTGGATTTGCTTATCAATATTACCTAGATTTGTTTATCAAGAAGGCACTACAAGGAATAACCTGGGACTATGCTCAATAATATAAACATATTATGGATCTCTGTTTTAAATTCTGACCAGCAAGCGCTAATAAATGCAACCAAGGATAAAAAATGTACAGCTGGATTGGCATTTGCAGAATATTTGAAAGGAACCAGTCATGGAACCCATGTGGAACAAGCCATGGCACCCACATATTCTCACCCACTGCCCTGCATTGCCCTGTGAATACCTCCTCTCTTAATTTCAAGTGCCACCTACTTGCCATACCTCCACTTACTCCCCAAAATGTAATTCCCAAAAATTCATTTTGTTTTGCATTTTGTTCTATTTTCTAGAACACACACAAATGCACAGCCCCAGTCTACTTTGCTTTCAAGTTTCATCTGGATTTTTCCTGCCATCAAATGACACCCTCCTGTCTTTCTTCCCTCTTGCCTAAGTTTCAAAATTATTTTCATTCACATTTCACTAATTTTTGCCATGATATTACATAAGGAAAAGACAAATTTCAAGAAAACCATGTTACATGTATTTCACCACATCATATAGCTGAAAATAATTAATGCTTTTCAAAATTGTTTTAATCTTCTCTCAGTTTCAGAGGGATCCAAGACATCGACGTCTTCCCCCACAATGCCTTCATCACAACTGTAATCATTTCCCGTGTTTTTTTTTGGTCAATGTGGAGCCCACACTCCTGTATTTGTAAATATCTTCTCCAGTCTTTGTTCAATGAAGCTAAAAGAGGAATTGAAGGGCTTCTTTAAAACACCCACTACAGGCAATTTTCAGAAAGGAGCCTGCCATGAACAATGGGTATTTTAAGAGAAAGCAGCTCTACATGGCATTGCCTGCAGCAGTCCCAACCAAAGGAGGCAACTGCAAACACAGAGATGATTCTGACTAAAATGAAAATATTTCATTAGTAATTTGAACATAAAATCTGCTTTGATTTAATGAAAAGTTTGTGGTATGTTCATGTTATTCCACTGGTAAGATTACTCTCAGAAAAAAATGGTCAAAATAAAAAAATTTTAGGAGATTATTTTACTAGTTTCTAGGTATACTGACTAAAAAGTCAGTACCTGGCTTGCATTCAAACAGCAAGTGCCCTAATTCTGTCAGTCGGTCACCGAATGTGGCAGATACTTCACTTTCTGTATGAAACTCAATGATAACTCAACTACAGAGCTACACCAGCACATACAGACCCATATTTCTTTCCCTATTGATGGATGCTTAATCAAAGCACTCTGAGATCAACCAATGGATGTCACATTTTTCCAAAAATAAACCCAGTGTATCAAAATTTTAAATACATCCCGATGACACAAATCCAACAGGAGTTTTACTAAGAACTGCCAATGATTCACCCACAGTATGTGTTGTGTCCCAAAATTCAGGTGGGTGTATTCACTGGAATACATCATTAAATAAGCCACTTGTATTAGTCGCCCTCTAAAAAAGACTTAACTTTCATGAATTTTCAAAGTTACTTTACTGAATTGCAAGACAAAGACAAGCTTCTTTAAATCTTTGTAGAAATACAAAATATGTTTAATACATCATTTGCACAAACATGCTAAATTATAAGTTTCCATGGAACTGCTGTTCAACTTCACACTGCCTCAAAATTCACAAGTTCTTACTGGAAATGGAGCTTTTTGAAATAAAATTCAGAAATAATATTTTATCAGTATTATTCTACCTATCAACAGCTAAATTCTACTTCATTCTGAGCCCAGTTAAAGCAGCTGATTATAACCAACTGCTAACACAAAGATTTTTATAATGGCAGTTATGCCAATTGCACTTAGACCAAATCCTTTAGGGTTTAGTTTTATAAATTTGTAAAAGGGGAGAAAAACCATTAGAGAAGTCAGTGATTTAAATAAGACCAACATTACTCCCTAATAAAGATATAAAATTAAAGGATAATAGTAACCTCGTGCTGTTTTATGAGGCAATAATCCAGTTACCAATTCAACCTTGTAGTTTATTCCATCAAGAGAACCAGATTAAAAACAGAGGGAGGGAGGGCACTTTTATCCCTATTATATTGCAAGTGTTTCTAACTGGGTTTAAATATTTTTAAAACTGTTGTTAAAAGTCTTAAACTCACAGACAAGCCAGAATGAAGAAAAATGCCTGTTTCTCCTCTTTATCCACTCCTTGCAGATGTGGCTTTAAAACTGATGAAGTGTTTTATGCTCCCAGATAAAAATTTACCTTTCTAAGAAATGTCTTAATTAGGAGGATTCCTGACTTTCCTCATCAACAAATGCACTTAAATCTAATTTTTTATTTATTTGTTTTTATCTGGGGGAATAAAACACTTCATCAAATTTAAACTGCAACTTCCAGGACTTGACCATGAGGAGAAACATGTGTTTCCTTCCAGAGATATACCCATAAGTTAAAGAAAATAAACTACTTGCGGATCTGCTGCACACTGCTTTATAAATGACTGAAAATGTAATGCAATTTCATTTTCTATGGGACGCCTGCTATGATCCTGGGCTGCAACTTCCACAAGCTCAAGATAGAAAGTGAAGTTGGGGACCCACATGTAAAAACCAGCCTTAAAGCACTTGACATTTCCCAAGAGTATCTCAGAGGCTGCTTCAGGCCCTCCAGTTGACCAGACAAGGATGTGGATCTCCCAGAAGAATCCATCATCTGGAAGAGGAGTTTGGCCATCAGACAAAAAAATCTCCCCCATTTCACTTCAACAAAAAAAAAAAAAAAAAAAAAAAAAAAAACAAAAAACTGGGAAGAAAGTCCTCTCTTTGGCCACTAGGAGTTGGTCTTCTGAAATGAAATTCAGGGGCAGGGGGAGCATTACCCTCAGTTTCTACCACATTTTTTTTTCGCATTATAATCATCTTGGGCACATTTTCACATTCATTTTATTCTGTTTTATCTAAAGAACACCTACTTCTACTGAGATTGTATCACATGATGCTCCCTAGTTCTTCTGAGCTTGTATCATGTCATGGTCTGGCAATATAGTTCAGAAATTTCATGATCCCAGACAAATATGCTATACTGTTTTACACGTTTTGAAACGTGTTGGTAATAAGCCTAGCAAAAGGATGCTGCTGTGGTTTACACAATTCATTCAGCCATGAAAAAGAATTCATTTCTGTCACAGCCACAGGTTGGGAGTCAAAATGTTAAGAGAGCAGTGGCTACAAATAGAGTAATTTCTCATTTTCTAGTGCTCCACTTCAGAAACCTGTGACAGTACCAGTAACTAGTGCTAATAGCTGCCACTGAATGCAGGATGTGACCCAGTAAGTGAGGATGGGTTCAGGGCCCAAACTCTCACAGTCTCTCAGGCAAGTCTCACTTTGGGTTTGCATCACTCCTACAGAACATCTGAGTAGAATAAATCACATTCAAGACACTGTGAAAGATTAGGCAAGGCAGGTAATGAGAAAATTGTTTTAGAATCAGTACAAGAAACTTGTGCATACATACTGCAATCTCATTAAATTAGATTAATTCATGCTGTTTGTTTCTCATGAAACCCGTTTCTTTGAAGGAACAGGGGAAAGGGAATGGGCAGTAACAAACAGGCACTCCCTAATATTCAGTAATTTCCTACCTAGGAAAACATCCTTCTGGTTGTCTGCATGCCTATCATAGAAAGTCTTATGTGAAAAAGATAAAATATAAATGTAAAAAAGATAAAATACATTGACAAAATAAAGTATCTTGAAAAATATTTTCAAAAAAATAAAATATCCTTTTAATTTCCTAAATTAAAATGAAACAAAATGTTGATTTATTAGAACTTCAACTTTGTCTGCCATACAAAGCCATCCTGAAAGTATGACCCTTTCAGGGACATGTATTCTTCCCTAAGAAAAACAGGCAAGTGAACAGAAATATATTCAGAATTTCTAAATTATTTTAATTCTCAAATTTTTTCTTCTCTTATTCCAGAAGGATTCTTGATGAAAGCAGAAATGGCTCAGGAATTTTGCATGTGTATTTAGGTTTTAGCTGAGGCACTTTCCTTAGCTGTTGTCTACTATCTGATATCAATATGAGTGAAATGAT